ATATATTTCCCCCTTCTCCTTAAACAACTTAGTGTTTCTGCTATGAAATAGTTCAGTTTTGTATGTAGCCTAATGGCAAAGTGTTTATATTTAGTTTCGTTTTTATTCAGCTTATTTAGAAAAACGTTTGGAGCATTTTTTTATTCGTTAAAAATATATATTTTTTTTTATCGAACAGCGCCCAGCGGAAGACCATCATTGTCTGTTTGATCAGTTTGCCTTCTCAGATCATCACGACTTGCCTAAAATAAAAGATATAAAACAGTTCAAGTATAAAACAATGGTAGCTTAAACGTTAAAGAATGTGTGCTATTAGGCGCATAGTTTGCTTATAAAAAGCTTGCAGGACATCGAGGCGCCAGAGCAATCACTTGCATTTTTTTAGTGGGAGCAATTTAAAGTTATCCGTCATTTTTGCTCACAAAGTACGAGTAATACATCAAAAAACGTTACAGCGTTTTTATAAAATAAAGAAAACCAAAATTATGCGCTTTCTGTCGTCTGGTTTTTGAACAGGAGCGCTTAACAAAATGAAGCAAAATGTATATGCCTCACAGACATAATAAATATATTTATAGAAAGCTTTAAATTATTACTTAACGAAATAAAACAAATCGAAAACAAAAAAACTCCTTCATGTAATCCGTAAAGATGAATTTCACTCTAAAGGCGAGTCCAAGAGGAGATTGCCAGTCAGGATCTTTGCGACACTGACTCAGAATAAGTTTATTAATTAGTAATTAAGATATGTCCTTACTCTTTCCTCGACACATTCAATGTTATTTGTTTTTGCCGGTGCTTGGGGCGAGTTTTAGCTTATTGTGTGCGCTTGAACGCGGATTCACAGTAGCAGTTTTAACATGGAGTGACACGACATCTGACGTACAGATGACACTGGCACATGCCACTGAGTGAAGTGACACTTCCGGTGGCACGTCCGGGTTTCCACTGTCATGTGTCACTCGCTAGTGGCATGTGTAGTGACCTGTGTCACTCAGAGTGTCGCGCTGCATGTCACTGCAGTGACATCGACACCCGGCGAAGTTTATGACATTAATTAACACGAGCAAAACCATATTTAATCATTACGCGACTTTTAACCTAATTTATCGCGTCGCAAGTTAGGCTACTCCACGATGTTTTAATTTAAACGCATTTATATTATGTATTCGTAGTCATACTTCCGTACGTAATATAGTCATTTGACAGTACATGTCAGTCAAATTTATTGTGGCATGCTTATGTATGGGAGGGGTTACACTTATCTGTTGTACTGTATATTATTGCATCCTGGCAGTTCCTTTGTTCCCTACAATATGGACTTCTCTATGTTTTTAATTCATTCATTTATTTTATTATTTAACTTATTTTCATTTTAAGGTATTTTAAATAATATCCTTTAAAAAGTTATAATAAAATGCATGTTGAAAACTCATAACATATATGCATGTAAGATAACAGGTGTCATTTGCCTAATGATTTTTAAATATTAAAGCAAAGAGACTTAAAGATTAAGGTGCTTATAACGTGCTTATACTGACACCTACTGGCACATGTCACAAGATCACTGACACTGGCAAGTGTCACTGACATTACTGGCATGTGTCTAAAAAGAGCCACTTGACAATAATGATGATCAGGGTTACACACAGGCTGTTAATATATTTGGGCCCAGGGCCCCACAAGTTATGTGTTAAAAGTGCGTTGCATACATAGTACCCCCACCCCTACTCACCTCAGGGGCAAGGAAAAAAGTTCAGGCTCAGGAATTTTTTCCACTATCAGCCCTGCATTTATAAACGCAACACTGATGACGCATGTCTCCAATTCTTCCACTTGTTTTAATTAAGGTTGGCAACACAACATGGGGTATTATAAGCTATCATGCATTTTAATAAAGTTATTATTAGTTATTATAATTAGTTCGAACTAAGGGTTTTCCATCAATTGATAAACTCAAAAGATGTAATGTTGTACGGGCCGGTACAGACATCCAGTCTCCACGCTGGCTCCACAAGGATCTCATGTGCGTGACGTTGCTTCAACTTCTTTTCAAACAGGAAGAACGAATTTGTTTGAAATAATGCAAAAACAACCGCTTTTAAGTAAAAGATCTGTGTCCTAATAGTGTTTTTAGCAACGTTGGACATATACACGTCTGTCAACACCTCCAAAAATGTGTTTTGGTGTTTCGTAGCCCTTTAAGGAAAAACCACGAGCTTGAGAATGTAAAAACCAACTTCACCTCAATTTCTTTATATGCATAATTTCAGGACTTTTTCCTTAATTTATATACATAAAACTTACATTTCATGAATTTCTTTCCTATTCCAGACGAAGGGTACGTCGTCTTTCGGTAAGCGTCGTAATAAGACGCACACTCTGTGCCGCCGCTGTGGATCCAAGGCTTATCATCTGCAGAAGTCCACCTGCGGCAAGTGTGGATACCCTGCCAAGCGCAAGAGAAAGTGTAAGTGTCCCTATGTTCAGGTTAAAGAGTTTGGGTGTCCATCCTCGTTCTAGCCTAGCAGATTTAAGGAGCCCAAATTGGTGACATTTTTAAACAGGCCTACGTTTTTAGACTGAATTTTAGGGCTGCACAGTACTAGAAAAAATATACAATACCTATTATTTACTAAAAGTCATTTATTTGTGCAATGATGTTACACTTTTTTTTTTTATCTAATTTTAATTCAGACTTTAAAAAAAAATCTGTTGAGGTGTAAAGATTTAGTCTATAAACATTTAGTGAAAACATCAGCAGGTATTCTGCTATTTATTCTCTGTTGTCTTTTTCATCATCTTGAATCCCACCATTAGTGTTTACCTTCAGCTTTGGGCTGCTTCAGCCAATAGCAAAGCAGAAACTACTGTGATGGCGGGGATAAAGATAGTAAGGCTCATCTGATTGGTCAAATTTAGATAGACAACCACTAGATATATTTTAATAAATAAATCAAGTCTGCAATATATTGCATGTACTATCGCAATAAAATATTGTGCTGATTGTGCAGCCCTACTCAATTTATAAGAAACCTGGCATTAAAAGCTTACCAGTGATGTGCAAAAATAAATGTCTGAACAAATGAGTGTCCAGTGATAACTGATTTTGAACTGAGGTAAGCCTGAGGTGTGCCTGAACAGAAGCTGGACATGAGTCTTCTGTCATTCGTTTAAAGTTTAATGATTGGTTTTGTTTGTAGACAACTGGAGCGCTAAGGCTAAGAGACGCAGCACCACAGGAACCGGCCGCATGAGACACATGAAGGTTGTTTTCCGCAGGTTCAGGTGAGTAATGTTGTGGTCTGATCAGATTTTCATGTTTTTGAGTCTTTGTTTTGACTTGGAAGAAATGCAAGAACATTTAAGACTACACAAATTGATTAAACTCAATATATTCCAGTTTTTTTCCCTCAATAACTTTTTAAAGTTATGATACTGTTGAAATTATTACCTTTTTGTGATTGTTAATGACACTAAGGAGCTCTTAGTTGTTTTGTAAGAATAAAGATTATTTTTTCAAACTTTGGTCTACTTTTGATGTCTAATTGAGTTGAAAAGTTGATTAAGGGCACAATTACGTTAAACAGAAAAACAATTGTTTTATTTTTATTTGTAATCTAAAAGAGTTCTTACAATTAAAATAAGTTTGATAACTTAGTGGTTTGAAATTTTGGCAAATAAAGTACTAAACATTTTAATGCATTTAGAGGATTAAAAGTTTTTCTGCATTTTTTTTTAAAACCAGTCTTTATATTAATTTTTATATAAATTCCTGCCATTGAAATGTGTTTTTTAGCATGTTATTCTTTGATACTGTGACGTTCAAACTGTTGCTGGATGATTTAGTTGAATCAAATCCCACACAAGACTTTCCAAAAGGAAAAGAGAAACCATTTTGTGACTCATGCAAGAATATTTTAACTGTAAAACACTTTAATGTGTATTTTTAGACTATATTAGACAGATATTTTCTGACTAAAACATTAAATGGAAATGTTTAAAATGGAGCCTTCTGTAATACTTTTACAATATTTATACTGTATATAACTTTTTATTGTCATCTTTTTTCTAAACATTTTGTAAATTACATGTTGAATTTTAGGTGTTAATTTTGTCATGAATAAACCCAGTGCAGCATTAAAACGCACAAATAAATGTAATCAACTACACGCCCAAATCTCAAGTTAGCATCTGTAACATGGCTTACCAGTGATGTTCAAAAATAAATGTCTGAACAAATGACTGTCCAGTGATAACAGATTTGTACTGAGGTAAGCCTGATTCGTAGATTGGCTTTTGTTAGGAAAGCCTTTTCTGTTATTATAAGAGTCTTAAACGCATGCCTCCAATCTTGCTCATGGTTTTTTTTTACTATCTTTAGGACCATTAAAATGTATCTGCGCGTGATGTTTTGTTGACAAGTCTGTTTTCTGTGCATTTCAGAAATGGATTCCGTGAGGGAACTGTTCCCAAACCCCGTCGGGCAGCAGTGGCTGCGTCCAGCTCCTCATAACGTGTTTCCAATAAAAAGTGACGTTTGAAATGTCTGTCTGAATACCTTAATTTTTTTTATATTAATATTCGGAAAAAAGCTCCTAGCACTTCACAATGCAAACTAAAGTCTTGATTTGAAAATGGTTTTATAATAAATCTAGTTTATTAAGTATCTCCTATAGCTTCTTTGTCTTTTAAAAGATCATTATCCATTTAGTCAATATTTACCGCCCCAAATGTCCTCTTTACATACAGTTTGCTTTAGATATAACATTGGTTACACCACAATAAAAAAAGCAATCATTTATTTTAAAACTTTATTATTCAATTCAGGCACAATCTAAATACTTTTTTTCATACAAAAGTGTGAGTCAAACAGCCTTTTCTAAACACCTCAGTAACTCCATGCTGAGAATCACGTGACAAACATATATAAATAACAAACAGTGAGAGGTAAAGTGTGAGACAAACACTGTGAAAGTGGTCTGAAGTGATGAGGCCAACTGTGAAGTGATTCTGTAATGCAAATTATTAAACAGAACAAACCTGTTAGGAGTTGCTGCAGAAGTAAGCTGTGATCGTGAACTTTAATACATGAAGTGTGTACTGTGAAGATGTGATGTGTTGCAGTTAAAACGGCAAGTGAACATTTCATAAGTGCACTGAAGCCAGAAAGATTAAATCCAGACTCAGCTCAACGAATTCTAGAGTGAGAAAGGCTGAATCGAGTCTCGTTCTGGAGTTCTTCAGGATCTCTATGGAGAATGAGCTCTAGACCCAGTATTGTTTGGTGGTGATAGGGGGTGCTTGGGGTCTGTGTTTTGGGACGTGGTTCTGGGTGACGTAACTTGGGTCGTAGTAATCCCATTCTAGAGCGGACGCCCAGGCTGAGCCCGGAAATCCATCACTATCCATAGAGAGGATACGGAGAGAAACACCTAAATGAACAATTGGAAGAATACAAAGAATGGAAAAACTCTTAAGCAAACAGTTATAAATATATATTTTAAATGGTCAAGTATGATCATATAAATACAAAAAATATAATGTAACTGAAGAAATAAAGCCTCATGCTATCAGAACAATTACATTCATTAACAGTGACTACTAAAAACACTTTAATATACAAGCTAGGCCAGTGTTTCTCAACCATGTTCATGGAGGAACACCAGCTCTGAACTCTTGTCTTAACGAGGTGTGCCACAGGCCTGCTTTTGGATGATGCTCCCAGCTATTAGATCGCTGGCTTCAGTAGAAGTCATAAACCCCACCGCCTCAGTTTAATAAACGAGGATTGAGCCCAAATACAAAAATGAATCACACTTGCAATAAAAAAAATTACCGAAAGATGGTTCTGGTCAATGAAGTCACTGGTTATTATGCTGATATAGGTGCAGGTCTTCATTTGGTCTAGAGTATCGGTTTAATATCGGGCCAATGATTAAGATTTTTACTTGCTCTGGCAAAATTTTCACTGGCCCCACCCACAAAATAAGAGAAATTAATGGCTATTTTTATCCACATTTTAAATAATGTGTCAAAAGTAATGTCTGTGAATCTAGAATTTAAATATTTAAAAATGTTAATAAATGTAAAATGAGCAAAATTGTAAGTGTGGAAAATATGCAGGTATTTTGTTGCAGTTAAAAAAAAAATTTAACAAATGTGGCTGACTTGCCAAACTAACGGCAAATTATGCAAAACATTACTTAATTTTTTTCGTCATGTTCCCATGTAAACGTCTGCTTCCAAGACGTTACAAACCCATTTTCTTTTACCCTTATAGCTTGATGTTGCCGTCACTTCAATGTACTGGTTGTTACCAAGTTACAGGGAAAAAAATGGCATGCTCAAAACATCAAATCAGATGAGAGAAACCAAATAGCAATATGGTAGCATTTAAAGACTTAAAAGCTCAAAATTAATAATGCACACAATTGACAAATCGTAGCAGGGCATAAAACTTCTGACAAGGCAGCACTGTTTCAATTGGGGCATTAATGATCCTGTCTACTGTCCCAAGCGTCTCTCATGGTAGGCCCGAGCCTTCAGGCAATCCTTATTGTTGAGCCCTGAGTATAATTTCAGCCAGTAATTTAATGGGCCGTATCATTGTGATTGACAGTTTCTTAAAACAGACCGTCAGAGCTTCAGGAAGAGCTTGAAGTGTTGTTATTCGATTTCTTTGTTATTTTACCATGATAAAATAAGTTGTTCAGCAGTAAACTATACTTTCTGACCTACAGTGTTGGTAGAACACTGCTTATTCTGTAAAGTGAGGGCTTTATTAGTTTGCTGATACACGCCTAACCTAGCCATGACGGGGAAATTACAGGTGATCGCTATGTAATTTTCTTTATGGGTCTGGAATAATAATTAAGAAGACAAAACTAATGTTAGCTGATCTCCACATTGATCTCCTGTAACGTTAATTTATCTTGATTTAAAGGACGTCTCTAACATTTTGAGTTTTGGCATGTTATTGAGTTAATCTACTGAATTCGCTGATATAAAATATTAATGTTCCTGATTCAGATCACCAGCAGAGACTGAAAGACCTGTAATGGGTGTGACAAACAAAGGTGACATCCAAAACATGCAGTGTTAGTGGTCCTTCGGGAACATGGTTGAGAACCACTGAGCTAAGCTGTTCATTGTAGGCTGCCAAGTATTTATGCATGCCAACTTAATCTGCAAAGAGATTTTAGAGTACATCCCAATTCATTTACCTATTGGGGGAAATGACTAAAAATAACAAACGGCAGAAAATATTTGTTTATTTGATGAATAAATGTTTATGACTGGATAAATATAGTATAATAAAATACTAGTTTGCAACATAACAGCTGAAAACGCTTGAGCAAATAAGATTTCAATGGCTGCACCCATTCTTATGTGAAAAAAACATCAATATGCATGGTGACAATGTGTATAATGAATATAAAATTGTTAGATTTGGTTGGAAACTATAACACTCATACCATAATATTTAGATTATTCGGTGCTAAAATGTTTACCAATCTTAAAAACGTTATGTACTGCTTAATAGTTAAGAGATATAGCAATTAATTGCAGGCATCGTTGGAATTTCTGAAGTATTGTGTAATTTAGAAATGTCTCTTCCAGATATTGGAAGTCTGAAAATATTTTCTTCCCCAAGTCATGGAATATGAATTTTTTGTGTGTTATGGTTTGGACATTTTCCAGCTCCATTTCATTTCTTTCATGCTTATCAACAGGCAATGACTTGAGTCAGATGCAGGGACTATCTGTTAATTAAAGCTGCCGTGTCAGGATATTACACACTTTGTCTGCTTTGGCTTCAAAATGAGAACTTGGGGTGTTAAAACAATAGGTGACAGAAAAGCTAAATGTAACGTTTGTAAAACTGCTATCAAGCTATTAAATATGGGTGAGGCAGTGGTAAATTATTCAGTGTTGATATAGTGACTAGAAACTCATATTCAAGCCAAAACCATTTTAAAATTATGAGACCATCCATTATAAGTCATGGAAATTCAGCACTTTAGTCAGGGAGTTGAATCACTGCATGTACTTTTAAGAAAATGCTTTGAACTTTTGGAGTCTTAATTCATTCATAGGAATCAGCAAACTGACCTGCACTGGCTCCAAAGTCACTGTCCAGTCCAGACCCTCTAGCCGAGGAGCTGGATGATACCACATAACAGGAGTTCTCCTGTGGGATGATGCTGGCGGACTCGCACTCCACATGGATCTTATCCAGAGACGTGCTCTCCAGCTCCATGGTGCTGCTTCTACGCAGGGAAGTCATCGGCACTGAGAACTGGAACCAGTAAGATCGATTTTCAAGTTACAATGTGAAACACCTGAGTGATAACACTTCTAAATCAAGCCACATTTCATCAAGAACAAATCTCACACTCAAAATCTAAAAATCTTATGCATGTACATTTGTGTTGGCCGAAAAGTAGAATTATGTGACTAGTTTAAACAGAACTGTTGCAAATATTTACAGTATTTGTGGCAAGTATTGTAAGTAGCCAACTAAAAATAATAATTCCTTTAATTTTCAATGAAAAAGTAATTTAATTACAGGAATTAGTATTTATTCTTGTTTATGTAAAGGACTTTGAATTGCCACTGTCTATGAAATGTGCTATATAAATAAACTTGCCTTGCCTAGTTAACTTGTATGTACACTCTTAAACAGAGTTGCATTAAACCAGCCTTGCATAAAATGGACAAACCCAACAGTCAAGTTTAAACTAAATGTAATGCACAGGGTGGGCCATTTATATGGATACACCTTACTAAAATGGGAATTTTTGGTGATATTAACGTCCTGTTTGTGGCACATTAGTATATTTGAGGGGGCAAACTTTTCAAGATGGGTGGTGACCATGGTGGCCATTTTGAAGTCGGCCATCTTGGATCCAATTTTTGTTTTTTTCAATAGGAAGAGGGTCATTTGACACATCAAACTTATTGGGAATTTCACAAGAAAAGCAATGGTGTGCTTGTTTTTAATGTACTTTATTCTTTCATAAGTTATTCACAAGTTACTGACCACTAATAAAATGTGTTTAATGTGCGGCCCATCGTGTTGGATTGTCAATGCAAGCCTCTTCTCCCACTCTTCACACACTGATAGCAACACAGCAGGAGAAATGCCAGCACAGGCTTCCAGTATCCGTAGTTTGAGGTGCTGCACATCTTGTATCTTCACACCATAGACAGTTGCCTTCAGATGACCCCCAAAGATAAAAGTCTAGATCGGGAGGCCTTGGGGCTAATTTAATAGATTAATAATAATTTAATTTAATAATCTAAAACTAATAGTTTTTTTTACATTTTTAGACTGTATCTCTGCACAGGAAGTTTGGCCAGACGAGAAATGGCTGTGCCCTACTGAGCCTGGTTTCTCTCAAGGGTTTTTTTTTCCCTTCACTTTTGTCAATTGGTGAAGTTTTGTTCCTCGCCACAGGCTTGCTTGGTTTGGGACTTGTGGAGCTGCACAGTGTTTGGAAAAAACTGTTTCAAAACTATTTCAGTTAATTTTATGCATTAGGCAGCGTCTGATTTTAGAGCTATTTTTTGCTTTCTCTGAGCTCTTAGGCACTGCCTTTACTTTTTTACGGTCTATCTCTGACAATTAGCTTGTGTTGCACTTACTGTTTGTTTGACATTCTTGTCAGATTTTGATTACGTCCGCTTAACCTCTAATTGGGTCGGCCCCTCTCGAAACCAGCTGGCTATTGCAGATTGGGCCAATGATTAACATTTATTATTATTATTACTATCATCATCATCATAATATTCACATCTTGCAAGAGATAAAAGCTGCCTACATGCAAAAACAATACATATAAAAATAAAAAAAATAGTATACCGGCACACATTTAAAAAATGGTCCAGCCCTTCTGGCATTTTCCAGATGGCCAGTCCGCCCCTGATTGAATTGCATTAAAAATGTCTGAATATTTTTCAAAAATGTTGACAATTTTAAGGTTTTTGAAATAATTATCAAATGTGCATTATTATTGTTCAATATTTAAATGTAATTTGTTAAATCAACATTTTTTTCAATAGTAAAGCACCAATTATAGAAATAACACCATGAACAGTTTTTGTTTTGAAAATTTAACTCAAACACTTTCAAGGACTTATGTTTGTTTTTTAAGTACTTTCCAGGCATTGAATAATTGTGTCTAAAATGTGGGCCTACTTTCAAGAAGTATGGGAACACTCTATTTAGAATTTACAAAAAAATACTATCACTGAAATTATCTATTTAGAATTTACAAAAATACTATCACTGAAATTATATTTTTAGCCTATGGAAAAAGTCCAAATGTGCGAATATAAAACCAACTTTTCCCCAAATAAAAACTGAATATTAATGACATATTAGGACCCTACCCCATTTGGAGTCACTCGAAGTACTGGTGAGTTCGGCGGTACAGTGTTGACCCGCTCCATGTCCGAATCACTGGACTGGACCAGAACCGGAGCGCTGGTCCTCCAGTGCGGCACGCGCAATGACTCTGACCCGGCGTAGGTGGCCCCGTCCGGGCGTAGAAACATGGCGCGCTGCCCGGTGGCCCGTCTCTCCGCGGAGGAGGTCAGGGATGAAGTGATGGGTGGCGCGAGCATTGGCTCCGAAACCGAAACATAATTAGTCTTTCTGTTCGGAGCAACCGGAGGCTCGTCAGAGAACCGGGTGATCCTCTGGCGGGTGGAATATGAAGAGTGCATGAGCGACATCTCGGACCCGTATCGGTCTCTCTTTCTCCGGGTCATCCGGAACAGTTTGTAGCCCACAAACAAACAATTTAGCAGCAGGAGCAGCAGCACGCATGGGATGAGCACCAGGATCAGCAGCGCCAAACTGGACACCGGGAGGCCCTCAGGTAAGTTTGATGAGGGCACAGCCGATCCCAGCTGCGACATTTCATCACAAATCAAAGATAAAACAATGATTTTGACGTCTGCTTTATTTTCACCCGTGGTTATTAATGTTAGTTTATGTAAAATAGTAAGTATAAAATCACTAAAACTGAGCAAAGTCGACAGTTGAGTCGCAGCTGCGCTCCATTTACATCAATTAATTTCTGGCAGGAGCGTGGAGAGATTCCTGGCTTTTCACCGCGTGAGTTTACAACAGTTTTAATTTTAGGTTCTTACCTCATTTATCAGGGTGTCTTCGGTGTGTAAAGTCGACTATTTTGTTGGCAAGCCCTCAAAATCGTAATGAAAATCAATATGTAAAAGTATTATGTAGAAAAGTCGCGCTACTTTTATGAGGACTTGTGTTGGCTAAAGGTTGTGACTTCTGACTGGAAATTAAAATATAATTACATTGGATATTCTGAGAATTTTTGAGGAAATATCAAGTAGTGGTGAATGTAAGGTAATGAAGGTTAAATATGAATGTATTGTAGCAGACTTGTATTTATTTTTAGCCAATATCGTGGGCTACCACTGGATGTCGCCAGAAGCCACTTTGGTTTGTAAACAAAACATTTTCAGCCTGTTCAAAACGCAAACTGTCTTATAGTAATTCCCTAAATTATATTTACATTAAAAAAAAGTAAGTCATAAAATTCAGAAACCATGATTTGTGACTAATATTTGTTGATGTTTTGAGAGCCACGCAACTGGTACTGTTTTTAAAAATCTGTTTTTGCTCCACACACACATGCGTCAACATTTGAAGTGGATCAAAATTTTTCTAAATTACGACAAGAATGGGTGTTACCAAAGTGCGAATTACACCCTACTGAAAAAACAGCTTAAACCAGCCTAGGCTAGTTGACTGGTTTTAGAGGGGTTTTGGCCACTCCAAGGCTGGTTTCCAGCCATTTCCAGCCTGGTCTTCGCTGATTAGGCTGTGAGATGTCCAGCTAAAACCAGCTATGTCCAGCTTAAACCAGGCTAGTCAAGCTGGTTTTAGCTGGTCGTTTTCCAGCCTGACCAGCTAAGTGGAGTGGCCAAAACCCCTCTAAAACCAGCCTGGTCAACCAGCTAAAGTCAGCCAACCAGCTTAGCCTGCACTGTAAAAAATTTGACCTTAAATTCACAGTAAATTACTGGCTAATAATTGCATTACTTTCACAGTAAATTACTGTATGTAAATTCACAGTAAATTATTGTGAGGTAGTTCACAGTAATTTACTGTGGTTTTGTCACATTAAATTATTGTGAAATTACAACCATATATTGTAACTTTACAGCAGATAATAAAGTCCGTTACTGTAATTTCACAGTATTATATTGTATAATTAACTATATTTTACTGTGAATTTGCAAAACGATTACTGTGATTTAGCAGTAGGTTGCAGTTTAAATACCTGATTTAACTTTAAAGTTACAGTTATATCCCGGATTACTGTAATTTAACAGTTTGGTGCAGTAAAATCTCAAAGCAATTTTAGGTCACACAAAAATGAAAATTCTATCTTGATTTACTCACCCTCAGGTTGTTCCAGCTCTGTTAAAAATTATAATTTTTTTTGTTAAACACAGGAATAAAAATATCAAATATTCCTCTTTGTGTTCAAACAACCTGAGGATGCGTAAATGACGACAGAATCTTCATTTTTGGGTGATCTGAGAAGACTCTAAAATCAAAATAAAAACAAACACACATACATTTTACAGATTTATTTAACAGCTTAATGACATCTGTGTAAACATTTCAGAAAACTTTCAAAAGGTGAAGCCTCAAAAAATACTATAAGAACATATTTATAAAAAAATCTGACATCTTATGTAGCATACATATAAAAAGCAGTGCTTCAGAGTGCGCTCTCTCTCTCTCATTATATATATATATATATATATATATATATATATATATATATATATATATATATATATATATACACACACACATGAGAGAGAGAGAGAGAGAGAGAGAGAGAGAGAGAGAGAGAGACAAAACTTCTTGCTAAATTAGGCAGTCGTCTATTATTAAGGTCAATTATTTTCCTGATAATTTTACACACTTGCTGGTTGATGTGTCTTCTCTGCTTCTTTGACTTCGTCTGTCTTCCATCTCCAAACTGGTGCCCAAAAAGCACCTATAAGCAAAAGGGCAGACAAACAGTTAGCTTCATACAACACTACTGGGACACTACTGCTGCACTACAGAGCAAAATTACTGTTAGCTCAGTTTGAACATGCTGACAATACTGTAGCTCAGTCAAACTGCAATCATTTAAACAAAAACATCTGAAAAACATTTCCATCACAAACACACAATCAAGAACAGTCCAACAACAAATAGTGGTTTTAATGACCTAGGCAGAGCATTTTAAAACAGTTGATCTGATTTACACCTTCTGTTTACAGACTATAATCTAATGCTGGGTTCACACTTACTGCAAAGTTAACACATGCATCACAGTACTTGCACTTGAATACTAGCAGGATGTTTCTTGCATCAAGCTAATTTTTCATGATTTAAATATTAGGAAAATTTTGCAAAAAAAACTTGATTGAAGTGATACAGCACTTGTGTTGTATTCATTTCAATCAAGTTTTTTGCAAATATTCCAAATATTTTTCAACGTTTTTTGAGTTTCACTTAATTTGTGCTGCCCAGTAAAAATTTCCCACTATTTATGCATTTGCAATGACTTGCATGTAATCCACTCACCTGAATAGGTAACTTCACATATGGTATAAGAGCCCCATCCTTTTAAAGACAGCTTCCCCTCTGGTCTCCAGCACAGACAAACAAATTGTGTCTGCAACACGGCCCTTTATAACAAGGGGACAAGGGGAGTCATGACTTGTGCTCCTAAACATTCCTTGTTTAACCCCCCCCCAAACAAGCCCTCAGTTACAATATTTATTGTTGACATTACCTTAAATTCCAGAGTGCAAAAGGCATCTTCAGCATACTTCAGTTTCAGAACAGATCCAAAGTCAGTTGTGAAATCCAGGTGAGGTCCCATGGTCCCACTCGACACTCTGAGTCCAAGGAATAAGACTAAAAGGGGGAAAGAAGGACTAAATTAGAGGTGTTTGTGAATAATTAAATTTGTTTGTAGAAACAAAGTTGACATTCCATGCTCTGCCTATTAAAAACCAAGCAAACACACATGCCCAGTAAAATTGCTAATAAAAATAAAAACTATAGTTTAAAAAAATCTTTGTCTAATATTTACTACTACTGGAGGTACTGGTGGAACTTCTGGAAGAAGAAAAAGAGTTTGTACAAGAAACTGCTCACAACAAATCTGTGAAAAACCTGACATTTAAAAATCTAATAAAAATGAGGAAGGCATCAACATTACCTTTAATAATCAAGCGAGGGGTGATTGGCATCAGTGTTTCAACATCAATGGCTGTGGCTGCAAAAAATATGAATGTAATAAGAGTAGAATAAGACTCAACCTAACACACGCACACACATACACACACATACTCTCTCTCTCTCTCTCTCTCTCTCTCTCTCTCTATATATATATATATATATATATATATATAGATTGTGATAATGAATTTAGGTTATATTTGTGTGCTCAGAATTTACACTCACCTCACACTTCAGCTATTATCAGGTACACCTGAACACCAAAAAATAAAATCTACAGTTAACTTAGTGACAATATACAATTAATACTCATTAGTAAATGTTAGCACTGCATTAACACCAGTGAGAAATATACAATATGTACTGTGTTAGTGTTAGTTTAAAAGAATACAACTGAATTGCATTATAAGCCTCATTTAACAGTTAAGACTTGTTTCATAATGAGTTTAGTTTATTTAACTAACTTAACGTTAACGTTACAGTGAACAAAATTAACGTACATGATGGTGACTAACCGTAACGTTAACTTAAGTGAAGGTCAGAGCTTACCTTAACTTTAGTCATTTCGCCTTTACTTCAGTCTTGTACTGAAACAGAAAATGCAGTTAACAAGAAGTTAATTAAAGAAAATTCCCTTTCTTTTTTCAGGAACTAACGTTAACGTTATGCTAATACCTCAGAAAACACTACAATCACCATCTGGCGTCGTTAATTTCTTGTTTTAAAAAATGGCGCGCTTAAACCCTGTACGTGCGAGTACAACTGAAGTACTCGGTAAATTCCTGTTAAATGACATGCACTATACAGAAATACACATACAACAATCATTTAACGGACAAAAGTCATATTTTAACACTTACCGAGGATGAATCCGTTGGGTGAAGAGACGACGCATGCGTTGTCTGAGGTGATGGCGCTTGTTTGCGGTCGAGTCGAGTCAGTTCTGTTAAATGAATCGGCTCCTTTAAGTGAACAGTAAAGAGTCGAATTCGGCTCCTTTAAGTGAACAGTAAAGAGTCGAATTCGCCTGAAAACGATTCCGTTTTGTATAATATTGTAAGACGCAAACATATAATTCATTAATATTTCATCATATTGCTTGGTTCGTGTACTGCTTGTACACGAATTGCTTGTTGATGACTATGAGCTCATGAACACGTCTGATAAAATATCTGAATCTGATTCAATGTCACACGAGTCCTGAACCGAAGCAGTGCAAAAGTAATATATTGATTGAAATATAAAGTTAATTATTTTCTTCGCCATTCAAAATATTACACATCTCTGATTTTAACAATAAGAATAAAGTTCGTTTGGAGTGTATTGAGAATTATTATGAATCCCAGGATTCATTTTGCACCAAGCTGCATCAAGCTGTAATGGTGGATGAGAAGGCACATAATATTATATTGCTTGTAATATGTAATGAAATAAAGTTTTAACACTTTTTCATGCGAAAATGTAGTTCTTCAAAACTCAAATCTGTGGATTGTTAGTAAAGATTGTGTGTAATTTTAAGTGTGTTTTGCCGGTAGCGGAGATCTATGACCTCCAGGCGGTAACGGCGCTCATTACTCATGTATCCTCCGAGAGGCGCCTGTCTTCAGGCTAGACATTGGGACAATTGCCCCGTCTTCGATGGCTCTATATGCGTCCGAAAATGAAGTTTTAACTGTTTTTCATGCTAGAATGTAGTTGGTTAAAACTCTAATCTGTGGTTTATTTATATAGATTAAAAAAATTATATATATATATATATATATATATATATATATATATATATATATTTAATTCTAAATTAAAGATTAGTGACCTCCAGGCGATGACAGGTGCCCAATACCCATAACCGTCTAAAGCAGACATTTACCCTGACATTAAAAATAATTGTTGGCTGTTTAACAGTCTTTGGTTTCATTAATTACTTTTTATTCCAGTTTATTATGTTTTGGCTAAGCACACAGTTATGTTCAATAAATATTATTTCCTATTCTATGTTAACTGTATAAAA